CCCCAAAGTGAGGGGCACAGGCTGAGAGCACAGGGCACCAGGTGGTCCCTCGAGCGTCTGCCCAGATCCCCCATCCCCAGGAGTGCCCACCCCATGCCCCAACCCAGCCGCAGCAACTCAGTGATTCCCAGAGCCTGGGGTCCCAGGAAAGAGCCCCCATCCGCCGTGACCCGCCGTTACCTTCTGCCATGGGAGTGGGCGGTCCTGGCTGGTCCATGTCGCCGCCGTCCACCTGGCTCCTGGGCCTCAGAGGAGCCAGGACCCTGTGAGGATGAGACACGCCATCAGGGGTGAGTGGGGGGACGCCCACCGACCACCTGAGGAAAGAGGCTGGACTTCATTCACAGCTGCAATTGAAGAACTGCCACCTAATAGTGGAAAGGCTGTAAACCTTAAAATAAGGCTCAGGGCAGAGCGCGGCACAGAGCTCCCAGAGCAAGACGCCACCCGGACCCGCGCCAGGAGTTAACTCATGCACCTGGGGTTCACTGGCCAGACCCCTCCAGCCCCGACGCCCTCAACTCTCCGCTTCCTCTCGCACGTGCTCAGAGCGGCGAACGAAGACGGAAGCCCAGCATTTCTTCTTCCTTCAGCTTAATCTTCATCAGCTTTGAGTGAAGAACGAATTTCTGGGGATTACGGATGTGCTGTTTTCTTAAGCCCTCGGGCCTGGGCCAGACCTCTGCAGGCCCGCCTTGTTTCCTCTCTCCTCTGCCCTCCTGTTTCCTTAACGTGATCAGAAAACCCGGGTCTGAGAGCGAGTGAGACACTAGCTAAGTCGTGAGAAGGCAGGTTCCCCGGCTCCGTGGAAAATGTCCCGTGGACCAAGTGCCCTGTTCAGGAGTGTTTGCACCAGAAAAGGGGCGGGAAGCAAACTTTGCTGAGAAAGGCGAGCTCTGCAGAAGCACCGTCCACATCAAAGAACCAGAACTCACCCTCAGAGCCCAGGGGCCAGGACAGCTACCCGGACGGCTACCCAGACTGCTGCACGGCCGTCCTGGTGGTCCCCCCTGTGCAGGACGACGGGCACGCCCCTCGTGCCCACGTGGCACAGTCAGGACTGGAACCCAGGCCTGGGCACCTCGGTCTGTGTGCGCGACCCCGTAAGAGGTTCAAGCAGACCACAAGGCTCAGGGACACTTTCCATCCCACATCCGCATCCCCAGGACACTGCGTTCCTGAGACGGGAGCTTCCCAGGAAGGTGACACACGTGACCTGCCTCCGGGTCTCAGGCCTGGACGTCAGGGTCCCGTGGTCTGCTCCTGGCACACGCTGCCCAGCACTGCGTCAGGTGCCACTTCCGCGTCAGGACCTCCCAGCAGAGCCAGAGAGCCTGCCCCCCGACACCCAGTCTGTCCAGGTCTCCCTGTCACTTCCCACATCACACGTGCCCCATCCAAGGACAGGCACAGAGCACACCAGCAAAGGGCGGTTCTGGCCCAGACCAAGGACACCGAGCAGAGTCCTCACCCCAAGTAACCAGAGGAGGGAGGCAGTGAGGAGGGGAGAAAGCAGGAGACACCCCTCCACCGGGGCCCCAGATGCCCAGCAACTTCTCGCATAAAGCAAGTTCCAACTTCCAAAACTCATCCTCATGCATGAGGACAACCAGCCTCAGGAGTGGAAGCAACTTGGGAGAACCCCTGGGGCTGAAGTCCATCCCTGGGCGTTCCTTGCAGGGCCATTCGCTGCACCCATGGTGCAAGGTCAAGGGTGCCCCACAATGAGGCCCCGCCCAGGGGCTCAGTCCCAGCAGGAGTTCCCTTCATTTATGGGAAACGAGCTAATGTTCCACAGAGAACGAAGAGTGCCATGCGATGCTTAGTTACACCAGTCGCTGCAGACGAAGCCACTGTCCCCCGGAAGTTCAGTGGAGCTTTTCATCACATGTCCGGACAGCACCCGCAATCACCTCTCCCTCACGGCCGTCCCTGCTGCAGGGCAGTGAGGCACCCTGAGGACGGCCATCCCTGCTGCAGGGGGGTGAGACACCCCGAGGACAGGAGGAAGGAGGACCAAGCCGGAGCACAGCCCCAGCGCAGGAGCAGAGAGCGCCTTCCTGAGGAAGATGGAGGGAAGGGCAGGGAGAGGCGGCCAGCCTGCTATGGGGGCCTGTCCAGGCTCAGAGAGCATCCACAGAAGGTGTCTGATCAGGGGACTGCTGTGGCCACAGTCGCCTTTTTGAAAGGTCATAGTGGCATCAGGTGGACAGGGCATCAGGGAGGAGGGCCAGGTAGAGGGAGGCTGCCCCAGGATGATATTGGGCAGGAGCCGAGGCTCGTGGCCCCGATGACGGTGGAAACAGGGAGGGGGCGGCACAAGAGATGCATGGAGAGTGCGGCGGCAGCAGCCACGTGGCAGGGATGGGCGCCGTCCACGAATTTCCCCGTCTTCTGTCTATGCTTGACTTGTGGTTTCACCCCATTGTGGGAGGCAAACGTGCTTGATACGACTTCAACCTTCTTAAATTTATCAAGACTCGTTTTGTCACCGAACTTGTGATCTATCTTGGACAATGCTCCCCGTGTACTTTACAAGAACGTCCACTCTGCTACTTTTGGATGGAATGTTCCGCACGTATCCACTAAAGCTCAGTAAAGCTGCAGAATACAAAGATGCCAGAGATGCCAGCGGGAAGAAAATGACAGGCCAATATCCCTGAGGAACACAGATTGAAAAAATCCTCAACAAAATACTGGCAAACCAAATTCAGCACTACATTAAAAGGATTTAATACCC